AACCTTGCCTCCCTCACAGAAATTTCTGCTCGCAGGTAGTCTTTAGCCTACCTAGAATATCTGAGTGCCCATTTCCCCTTAGAAAATGAGTGGAAAGCAGGTGCCCATCCTTCCACCAAGTGTGCTGACAACTGGGAAATGAGATATAGGCAATCTTTGGTAAGGCCAAGGTGACTCAGCCCATGCCGGTCCTGAGAGCAGCCATGCCTTGGTAGAACTCTTCCCAGCTCACCCCTAGCACTCGCTGCTTAAGATTGCACCTGATTTTGAACATCCCCTGAATAAATAAAAGAAGCTGTAAGCTGATGTTGTTGCGCAACGCGAAAGCACACAATAGTAATCACAGCTAATGACTCTGCTAAATGCTAGGCTGCACACACCTCCTTGTTTGGTGTTTGTTTTGTATACAGAAGGTAACATTGGCTGAATAACGAGGATGCCAAGTTACAGATGGGGTTGTGGAATCGTATTTGACAGCCGATTAGAGTAATCTGACAGAAATGATGACTTAATCACCACGACAGACTCCAAATTCCCAGACAGAATTCCACCCAGGTTAATCTAATTTCCTTGCAATATTTTTGCCAGAAATAGACTCTTAGCCGGCTTGTTTTCTCCCGTGCAGATGTCACATGGTTTTGACAAGAATGTAAATAGGTAGCATTATTATTGTTCAAAAGATGACTGTGGGGCTCTAAAGCTGGAGAGGATCCGTGCCTTTGAGAGGTTTTTGGTTAGCTCCATTGTGCTTTTTTTTCCCTGATGAAGTTATATTTGCATATAGTGGTGTGTACTCTGGAAAAAGAGGGGAAAAAAAAAGGCATAACTAGTCAATTGTAGTTGCAGGCCACATCTTGGTCCTGCTGCTACCCTGGACATAGCCAATAGATGGATTCCCTTTGATTTCAGGGGGATTTGGGATTTTGTGTTTTACAACCATTTCTTTCCCATTGAGATTTTCGTTACCCCGTGGACCACATCAACACCTCTGTTTGGGGTGAGCCCAAAAAGCAGCAGTGATGTACTGGGCCTCAGGTTTCCTGTGGCCTGCATTACTGCACAGGCCTCATGTGGAGCCTCTGTGGCTGACAGCACTGCCGCAAGGCACTGCCAGCCTTGGGCAACAGGCATCTGCCTGCTCTCCATTGTGAAATAAGGGTAATGAAAGCTCAGTCGCACTGTTAAGAGCTGTACAACTGCATCCAGTGGAGCTCTCTAAAATTTTGCCAAGGAGGGATCGTTCCTCACAGCCCGTTCTCCAGTCTGGTTGCGATAGTCCCATGCACGTTGCTTGCTAGAGAGGCTGCCCACCCTCAGAAACAACTTGTCTGAGAGCTGTGCTCTTCTCTTGTATTATAGATCCAAGTGCAGGATGATAATGTCTGTAAATTATTTGCTGCAGTTACTTTTCTCACTTTTTCCTATTTATTAATTGCAAATGTACAGTCATAAATACTGTATTTTTATAGGCAGAGCTTTCTTCAAGCACAGAAAAAAAAGCGTTTCCTGTTTTTCTGTGACAATATGACATACTAAGAAATCACTTACCTTGAGATCCATAAGTGTACGGCTTTGTGATGTATAGCTACAATAACAGCTTTCTGATAAGACATGAAATCCTTCATTTCAGCAGATGACATGATTCTAGTGGGTGGCATCTAATTTGAAACAGGTTTATATCATCTATAATCTTTTGGAGGGTCTCAGAAAGCACAGCTATTTTATTATTTTATAGCCTACAGTTATACAAGCAAGATATAAAACGCACAGATTATTTTCTCTTTTGCTGGTTGTGGAGTGAAAGGATAGTACCTATTTAGCCTTTGTCTCTGCCCCTTTAATATTCTTACTTACTTACTTCACGCCTTATAGTTCATCTTTTTTTCCTTTTTCCTTTCCTTTCCTTTCCTTTCCTTTCCTTTCCTTTCCTTTCCTTTCCTTTCCTTTCCTTTCCTTTCCTTTCCTTTCCTTTCCTTTCCTTTCCTTTCCTTTCCTTTCCTTTCCTTTCCTTTCCTTTCCTTTCCTTTCCTTTCCTTTCCTTTCCTTTCCTTTCCTTTCCTTTCCTTTCCCACCTACTTCTAAATATTTTATGGGTAGAGAGCTTATAATATGTATTGTCACGGCAGTTGTCTCTAGAGGTCAGCAATGAGTTTAATAATGAGATGCGAACCAGTGACTCTGTAAAACCCATTTCAGGTTATAAATGGCATGTTTTATTGAATCTAGTGTTAAAGGTTGTTAACGTATCAATTGGTGATGGTCAGGGTTAAACAAGCTTCAACACGAGCCCTCTCATGTTAGGGAACTGTCAGTAACGTATTTTTCCACCATCCTCTTTGCCGAAGCCATGTTTGTGTATCGCATCCATTTTGCCATGGCTATTCTGCGGTTTAAACCCTTCAGGCCTGATCTGAATCTTTTATTAGTTTTGCACTGATATAATTCTGTTAAGCACGGTGGCATTCCTCCTGATTTAGACTTGCTGGTGAGAAGAGAATTTGGGCCCTGGGTTTTCAGCAGGAACCTTTGAAATCAAGTCAACACCTAGTTGGAACGTCTTGTTAAATCATACCTCTTTGCAAGCATAACAGATTACTGACTTAATGAACTTGAGGTAATTATGCAAAACAGAAGAGGATAATTTCTGATGTGCTAACTGTGTTTACCAGGTAACCCTGATCTTTTGTGGTACTGCAAAAATAACTTCTTTACATGAGTTTGGTCCAAAGGTCTCTAGTTCAAGAGGTTTGTAAAGTGAAAGGTTTTTAGAATTGTTAAAATTGCATTTATTCAAAGTATATCCACTCAGGGACATAAAATGGAGCTAGGCAGAGTGATAGATTCACTGTCTATATAAGGCCTGGATTTAGGTTGGTTTTCTGTAAGTTGCATATTCCCAATGTTACAGTGAACTGAGAAGTGATTCTAGTAGTCATCAGAAATTATCCTACATCCTCCTCGGCCTCTAGTATTAGGAGATATGTCTGACTACCTCAGTTTTTCTTTATTTGCACCCTCTTACAATGCATCCAAACAACTCAATTTTGTTTTCTTTATTTCTTCACCTTCCTGTGGCTCTGCAGAGATGCCAGTACCTGCAGCAGGCTCACTGAAGCAAGTTGCACCTTTTTTCCTGATTCAGCTTTTGTTTGCTGAGTGGACATGCTGCATCCCATTCCCATGAATTCAAAGTCTCCTGCAGTGCCCAGCGTATTGTTGATGCCAGGATAAATGTTAAGCACTGGTTAAAGAAGATAGAGTACAATATAAGGTCTCTTTTTTATATAAATTAGATCAAATAAGAGTGGTGGCAGACAAGTGCAGGGCTCTTTAAGTCTGTCTTGGAAACAAATGATTCAAAGAGAACAGAACTGTTAAAATTGAAGCAAATTTATGCATCCTGGTGACTACATCAACCTTGTGGCTTTGCCTTTTCCTTAGGGCACAGTAGGGAATTTTGCAAGCAGCGCAAGGAATACATTGATTTGTAGGGCCAGAGTGCATTCTGGACTTTAAGTAAATCTTACGGAAATATGCACGGCAATATTGTATATTCAGTAAAGAATCTAGCAGCTACGTCCCTGGAGGTTAAGTGACTCCACCAAAAACAATGCAGATTTGGTTTTCTGTGCTGCTTTGAAAGCGCATTTGATATGAGTGCATGGATATTCTCTCCTGCTCAGCTGTTTTTGTTTTCCAACATCATGTTTGTCATAATAGTCTTTTATAAAAAAACATGAAATTGCTGCTGACATTTTCAGCCAATGCACAGCTTTGCTGCACCGATAGATGTTACAAAAGCAGAAAGAGCTCAGATTTTTACATGTTCACGTGAAATGGAGAGAATTACCAAAGAGAGTAAAGGCAGCGGCCCTGCTGCTGCCTTAAGGTTTGTGCAGAAAAATCCCAGCAGTTCTGCAGAGCCCAATGGTAAAAAATAAAGAGTTGTGTTTTTTTGTTTTTTTGGTTTTTTTTTCAGGCTTAAGCATCTCCCCCACTGAAAAACAATTCAGGGTCCTTTCTGAGGGATTTTGAAAAGCTATAATAAAATTCCCCTGAATCCATCACAGGGGACCCATGGCTGGCTATAACCAATGTCCACTAGAAGCAGCATGGACTCTCTAACTAAAGAGGACTCAGCTGTTGTGGTGTTTCTATTCCTGAAATAACAGAAAGCGTTTGGTGAAAACTTTGTTGGAATTTTCAGCAACTGAAGGTGGGGGGAGCCTCATTTAGCAATGAAAGCCAAGGAAACACCATTTTAGGTGTGGGAGGGTAAGATGCCATGAGATGTACAGCATAGCTCACTACACACGTTTTCTGTTGCAATAAGAAGGAGACAAATGAAGGAAGAAGTTGAATAGGAAAAAGTGTTAGGAGCTTTTATGGCTTTTGTGGAAGCCAGAATTGTACAGTGTTGTGATGAAAGCTTTATGAATGAATGTATAATGTATTGAGAGGAAAAAAAAAAAAGATACTAAAGAGTTATAGGAAGCTATTATAGGAAGCACAAGTCTTCCTCTTCAGTCCTGAAAGAATCAGCACATGTTTTTTTAATTACAAGCAAAGTTCATTTGTCAAACTAAACTCCTTTGAGTATGTTTGAAATGCTTTCGAGCTCTTAAATTACTTGAAAATTCCATCTCAGTCTTGGCAGTAGTGGGGCTCAAGAAAAAAAGTTGGTAAAACAGAAACCAAGCATGCCATAAACTAATGAGGGCTGTAACTTTAGAGGTCTTCTGAAACTAGATATGGCAAATTAAAGTTTTATATGAGTCCTGTGGGCCCAATGATCTATTTTTTTTAATCTTCCTGGTTATAAAATGCTCCTTTACCATTTTATACTTCTTAAAAGCCTATAATATGGTGTTATTTTGAAGTTATATCATTTCAACATGTTTAATATTGATCATGTATCCTTTTAGCCCCTCATTAAAAACCTGATTCTTGATTTTTATGACTATCCAACCTGCCTTACTCTTTTTCATTTTTGTTTTTAGATGCATCATCCTATTCAGATGAAACCCGCAGATAGTGAAAAGTCCAATGGTATGTGTTTAATTTATTTTTACCTAATTGTGACTCTCTTCACTAAAGCAAACAAAACATTGTGAGAGTTTTTGCTTTACTCCTTGTGTGGTGAAAATTATATGAGGCAGTTTTGCTGTACCTGACAGGTCAGGAAAGATGTTGACCTGCTCTGAACTCCCATTTATCCTCAGCTTTAAAGAAGGAAGGATATGTTCAGAAAAATGATCTTCCCTTGTACCTGCTGTATGTCATGGCCTACCTTGCTACAAATGTCTGTTCACTTGTGTTCACTCCTAGCAGTGAGGTGATCCAAGAACACCCAATATTGATAAGATGGAGATTAAATTTTAATGGTGGGAAAAAAAAAAAAAGAAACAAAAAATATTCCAATGTTATCAAACAGTGTAAGCAGCTGATGGGCCTTAAATATTTGCCTAAACCTCCGTTTTATAGAATGATGCTGTTCTGAATCTGAACTAAATTTAGGTTTTAATGATATGCTTAGTTCTGAACTGGGAAACCCACCTTGCATCTCTCTGTATACTTATTCCTCTCAACGATTGTAAAATGAATGCTATAATGACAGTAATATCCGTTCAGAATACTAGGTTACTGCCTAAGTGGATGTATATGACATGCAAAATAGACAGCATTCTCAATCTATTAAACATGCCAGGTTTGTATATTCAAGGAAATAAGATAATCGGATGGTAACGCAGCCTGGCTGTGTGTGATTCTTTAAAAATATATACATGTGTATATTTTGCCCCTTGATTTGTTCCTGTAATTTTCTAAAATATATGTTAAAGATATCATCTGCCTTCTTAGATTGCAAGAGCTTCTTTTTCCCATAAGGCCCACATAATCAGAGCTGGTTCCTCCAACAGGCATCTTTGCACCTCATTAATTAGTAATCAGGGCAGAAGCCGTGCACTTAGAGATCTACATACCTGCAAATGTAAATTATGATTGGGCTCTAAATCTCTCCGCAAGGCTTTTTTAAGGCTTCTTTTGTGCTAATTGTAGTGCATCCCATTTTCAGGCTTCTCCAAGGATTAAAAAGTTTGGAAGGAAATTAAAACTTCACATTATGCTAGGTTTCCTATTATGACAACTTTCAAAACAAAACTGGCCACAAGCATTGAAGATTTGGGCCATCACCCATTTGTAAGGGAGTGGTGTTTTCTCTCTTGGGATGTCCACAGAGTTTTAGCAGCAATTTGTTGCTCTCTTTGGATGTTCAGCAGAGACGCCAAGGAATGAGCAGGAGGACCAAACTTTTAAGTCCCCACTGTAGCATGTGAGAGCTGCTGCTGGAATCAAAATTTCACTACCTAGTATGTGTTGTGCTTGCAGTGGGCAAAGTTTTCCCTTAGATACAGGAAGACCGGCCTGGACCCTCTGAATTACTTAGCCTGTACAGGTTCTTTTTTCAAGAATAAATTTCACCTCAAGTTCATTGGCAAATTAGAAACGTAAGAGCCAAGGGGCTGAAGTAAACTCCCAAGGAATTACTTAGTCATTCCTCATTTTTCTTCCTAAAGAAGATTGAACATATTGGCAAAGCACTATGGGGAATTGTGCAAACCCTGTCCTGCTCTGCAGTGCTTACAAAGCAGAGTAAATTAGCTCCTTGCTGCTGATGTTAGACTGGGGTTATCTACATGATACTCCTGTCTGCACTGTGGGAATACTCTTATTAATCTTCAGAGTATTCTCTTGCACCTATGTCTAGCATGAAAATCATGAGGGATTGGGTTTTTTCTTCTTTTTTTTTTTTCTTGACTTCTTTGTATTTTGAGAAAAACACGTCAACAAATCAAAGGCAATCATCATTGTCAAATTAAAAACCTTTTTAAATTTAGACTCCTGGAGAGTGTATATGCTTCTGGTAGGCATGTTCAGAGGGTGGTGAACCCTTCGTTTCTAATGACTGGGGAAACAGAAGGCAAACTGACACCATGATGATGGGAACAATAGCACAGCTCCTCGGAAGGACGGGGCGTAGGAGTAGGATGCATGGAGGAGGCGAGAGTTTGCAAGCAGCCTGGAGAGCCAAAAGAGAAAAAAACAGCAGCATGGGGGAGGTGGAGGCCTGTTTGGCATGTGTTTCCCGTATGCTTCAGGCTATCCATCTGAGGAGGTATATTATCTGTGCCAATAACAAAGTGTAAACTGTACCCCTTCAACCAGATTGGTAAGTTCAAAGGGGAAAAGAAAGAAGGCGTGCCAAGGAATCTTGTTTTTCATGATCCATGGTGTTTGAGCTTTTTGGGAATGCTTGAAACCCTTTGATTTCTGAGTAATGAGAGGATCCAACTGCATTTTATAGGTAAAGTGGTGTTTCTCAAGTTTCAAAGAGGTTAAAGAAATTCTCTTGTTCAGGATTTCCAAGTAGCTTGTAGAAAGATATGTGGGAGAGGTTGAACACTCACTGCAGTTCTTCTGAGCTCGCATGCCTTTGTGAAAGGTTGGAGAGACCTGTTCAACTTTCAGTGGCAGGAATCATAGAATCATAGAATGGCTTGGTTTGGAAGGGACCTTAAAAATCCCATAGACAAGGACACCACTCACTAGATCAGGTTGCTCAGAACGTCATCCAACCTGGCCTTGAACACCTCCAGGGATGGGGCATCCACAACCTCTCTGGGCAACCTGTTCCAGTGCCTCACCACCCTCTGAATGAAGGGGATGTTGTCTCTTTCATCTTACAGAGGTTTTCAAAGAACAGTATTTTCTGTGTGATAATATGCCTCCTCGCCATCCTGAGTCCCTTGCTAAAAGATCTGAATGACCATCCAAGCCCAGCAGTGCTAGGGTGGAATGCTCCCCATTCCTCATCAGTGTTCCTGTATGCATCACTTTACAAACTTATGCCTTAACACAAAAGGCCAGGCTCACCTCATGGAAACTGGGAGAAAGTTATGAAAGAGCCAGCTCCTAGGCATGTTTGACTAAGTGCCTAGGCACTTTTGTGGTGCTAGGACTTCATTAGAAACCTGAAGGTCTGTTTTTATCTGGGTAGGAACTGGGTGGCTGATAGATCTATGTGATCATCTCCATTTCATCCCTGTGTATGGGACTGAGGGTGGAGAACAATAGCTCATGTGTCCAAGCCAACTCTTTGCTCGTGCAGATGAAGCAAAGCTTAATCAGTTTCACTGAGCTTTTAGCAGCTAGAGTTGATGGAGAAAGACTTGCCTTTAGGTCTAATTAATTTGTCTACCCTGGAGGATTCTGAAAAAGGCTTTTATTGTTGAGAAATGTAACCACCCTGAAAAATTTTCAGAAGATTAATTTTGTAGTGTGCCCTGTTCTAGTCACCCATTAGGTCTACTCTGACCACCTTTATGTTGCTTCGTAGCTATTTTAACCTATCTACACAGTTTCAGTTAAGGAATACCTGCCAGAAAAGCATGGCTTCAAGACTTCAAAGACTCCTCCATTGCTCGATTCATCTTAACTGTTAATCACTCACAATACTAGGCTGCTTTTTTTCCAAAAATAAGGAGTACCTGCACTCTAATGCAGAAAATCACAAACACCTTTGGCTCTAAGATGTCAGTGGCCATTAACATGATGCAGTTAGCAAATACTTAAATGTTTCTTGGACCAGGATTTGAATACTGTCAATACTTTCAGGCACATATCCTGAGGACAGTATACTCTTAAATGGATCAAAGCTTCAACACTTCAGGGAAAATTACAATATTCTCCATTAAAAAAAAAAAAAAAAATCCGGGGGGGGGGGGGGAGGTGTGATGCAAGGGGTTATTTGTGTGATCCTATCATTTATTTTTATTTATTTGATTAGTGAAAACTTGAAGAAATAATTCTGAAATTCTATGTGGCATGACTTTGCCAATTTGGAGGGAGTAATTAAATGCCATATGTTAGCACTAACACATAGAAAAGTTGATAATTAATGCAAGCAGCTCCGGATCCAGGTGTGACTTTGACAGATTGTATGCAAGGGTTTTTCACAGCCTTACAAATAGGGATAAAAAGTCTGTTTTCCTCCCTTCCCTTCTGGATGAAAAAAAAAATTAATATCTTACCATTTGTACATAATTAACTATTTCTTGATTCGCTCAAAAGAGAAGGCAACTTCTGAATGGAAAGTATACTCTTTAACTGACTGGAGCCCTCAAAATATATAAAAATAGGGAAATAACTGATTTTTCAGGACATAATTTTGGGGATTTAGGGTTAGAGAAAATGAAAGTTTGTTGAGTCTTAGGGCAGATTTTCCATTATTGTTACAAGGTTTACTTCTTTTCTAGCATGCAGGAAATAATCCCTGCTCCTTTATTCTCCTGGGTTAGCACTACTGATCTAATACAGATTTCAAACCAAGAAATGGGAGTATGCTCATGCAAAATGCTCATTAATGAAGCAAAATGAGTAAAGGTGAAATATTTGGAGCCGTCAGGATGTTATTCTGCAAGTTTTGTGTAGTGCTGTCAGAAGGCAGGTGGCCCTGGTTTGAAAGAAGCCCCCACCAGCAGAAGACTTCACCTCTGCCAGCTTCTGATGGCTGACATAGCTGTCTTCGAGCATGATACCGAGGCACTCTTGCTAGTCATCAGAGCTAGTCTTGATGGAGTTAAGAAAACTCATTTTACTATAAAACAGATGTCTGATGCTCGTCACACAAAGCTTCTGCATTCAGGCAGAAGAATCCCACCTCAAATCCAGTAGGTTCAGCACTGGATGTGTCACACTAACTGCCTGGGCAGCAGAGCTGACCTGCATTCATTACATGTTTGGGTGGATTAGAGGTGAATCCCACAATTATTTGCTCAGGATGCTGTGCAGTTTCACACCTTCCTTCACATAGCTAGAAATTCAGGCCTTGTTCAGTGTGACCTTCTGCCTGCTTCTGCTCCATCAGTGCGGAGCACTCAGCCGTCTCATCATGCTTGTTTTTGCAGCCAGTGGTATCTCCTTCAGGGTCACCAGAGTGGTGCAAAACAGCCAGAAGTTACAAACAGGCCTATGAGCAATGATACCAAAGGCTTGCCAAAAATTTTGCATTTAGTTTCAGGATTCTGAATTATTGAAACCTAGCCCTAGTGTGGGAGAGAGAATTACCAAGCAGCAGTGAAACGTTTTTGAAATATGTGCACACAAATACTGTCCCCTGTGCCCTGCTGTCCTTCCCCCAGCTTTCTCCTTCCCCTGATCTTATTGCCCAAAGCACTCACAGCTTCCAGGCTTTCTCCACTCCCTCAGAGCTCACTTATTCCTTTCATCCCTGAGGCTGGAGCTGAGGACATCTACATGTTAGGGTTGGGAGCTAGCTGGAAGCGTACAGCCCCATCTATTATTATCAAGAGCAAGGGGGAGGCTCCCATGAAACAAGCTGTCCTGTCTTGCCAGGAGAGGTGATTTTTTTGGAGGAGCTGACCTCTTGGCATTGGTAACAGCCAATAGATAACATTTTAGCTGGGACTAGGACCAGTAACTTCACTTTTAAATGAGTATAGTTGGGGGACATAGCTTCAGAAACTGCTGTTCTTCCTGAAGTCAGCAGTGGGTAGAACCTTTCCAATCCCCATGCTTTGTTGGGTTGCATGGACTTAATGTTGAGCTCTTCTTTTTAGTCTGTGGGAGCAACTCAACATGCACAGATGAGGCAGAAAGCCTGGCTGGTCGAATGGGGAGTTTGCTAACCTCTAAATACACTTGAGCCATACTTCTTGCAGTCCATTTCTATTCGATTCTCGCATCACATCTGCAAGGCAGGGAAGTATTCCTTGTAGAAAGAAAGTGGCTGACCAAAAATGCAGAAACAAATCCTGACAGCAAGCCTTAAGCAAGTAAAAAAGCATTCCTTTCGCTGCGTGAGAATACATAGTTTAAAACTATTTCAGCCTAATAATATCAGATGTTCCATCAGATGGAGTGAAAACATGTCATTCTGAGCCTGACAATTGTCCCTTTAAATGTTTTTTATACTGGGCCCCTGGCCAAAACAGAATAGCAATTTTCTTAAGCTTCAACGCTGATCAGCACTGACTAATAGCACTGAATGCAGGGCACGTCATCATATCAATATGTTTTCTGTACTCTGAGCATTCTTTGTGAAATCTGCATTTTTAAGATGTACAGTACACGGGAGCTGGATGTTTAATTTACTATAAAATCACCCTCAAGCTGAAAACCTGCAAATCATCTTAGTTCAATTGCATATTTATAGGTTTACTAGCGAAACTGAAGGAGGCCGGTGGGGAGTTTGTCATCTGTTACTCTTTGGAAAATTAAAACAAAGCCTTCCCATTTGCTTTGGAGGGGTAGAGAAGCGGTGGGGGCTCCCTGCACCCTGACGGCTTCTGTTTGCTTTGTGGGGCAGGGTGAGGATCCCTGCACTACTGAAAGATCTCTCCTTTTTTTTTGATTCTCTGAGTGAATTGCTTTGGTTTGAGTCGTTGTCCTTGCACCTAAGCAAGACCTTCAGCTCCTTACTCTAGAACTGCATGGTAGGCACTTCTCTGACAAGGCCAGCAGCTATTTTTAAGAAAGAGCTGGATCTGGTCACTTTTTGGGTAGTCTAAAATCAACTCACTTTTTAACTGCCTGAGTACTACCTGACACATAGGCAGAAGTTAAGAGGTGGCACCTGGGCTTCCCCCAGCCTGACCTCAGTTTGCAGCATGAGAAATTTTTACAAATGCCTGGCAGCCCAGCGGAGTCACTTGCTCATACACTTTCCTGTGCCCTGGCCTTAGTGTTTGGCTGTTGTTGAGGGAGAAGGCAGGCTATAAACCTTCCTTGAAGAGATTAGTTAAGGCAACAGAGGATTTTTAAGCAGCCAATTTACAGGTATCCTCTCACCAGCAAAGGTGAGTACCCAGACTCTCCTCATGGCTGTGAGCAAGCCAATTCAGTTTCACCATCCTTAAAATAATTATTTGCAGCACCAAAAACAATTGTGTATCGTGAATCAGCTATAAAGCTTCATTGAAATGCATTTATTTGAATATAAATCCCAATTTATGAGTCTCATCTGCAATCCCACTGTTCAGCTGCTGATCTCTGTATACCTGGCTCATCCCATGCATTCATTGTTTGTTAACCTTTCCTGAAGGGTTAACCTGCCAGTAGAACCCCAATATAAAGTGTGAATGAAAATGTTGAGACTTGAGGAATCTGCCGAGAAAAACTTCTCCTGGGTGTTAAATTCACACCAATTTTCTTGCCAGCTTCTTGAGCAAGAAGCTGAGATTGTAGGGGCTGGTCTTTGGTTTGGATTCTGAAAAATGCCTGGTCTCGGTGCTTGCCTGTATAAAAGCTACAAATACTTCTTAAACTCTACAATTCTAAGGAAAAAAATACTTCAAATACCTCTCTTGTGATCAATATACATGAACCTCTTCTTTTTATTGGTGAAATTATGAAATGCACTTAAAGTGTTGAAGTATAACATAAATAAAATCTTATGAAAATAGATGCAGTTTCTTATTCCTCAGCTGCATTTTTTCCCATTTGACAAACTTGTACTAATACAAAGAGAGAGGGTTGGAGAGCAACAGAATATTTTTTTTTGTAGGCCCAGAAATGGAAATACTTCATTACAAAAATAATTTGCACAATAATAGAAATAAGCAAGTGCACTGCAGCCTCTCTGGAGTAAAGCTTTCCTTCTCTCTTTGCATCCCTGCAAACTCTGACAGTCTGCTCATTAACAGTGAATTGGATTTACATGCCATTTCAAGAGAAGAAGAAAGCACTGGTGTATATACTGTATAATAAGTGCTTAGATTTGGGGTTTAATATAGATGGGATGGTGTGTTAACGTTTTTAAGTCTTTCCAGAGAGCATTAAGTTTGAACCTGTTTCATTTTTGACACGAGTCCGCAGTTTGAGACCTGTAAATTTGAGTTTGATTAACAGGACTGCCTGAGTCCTGTTGCTGCAGTGTAGCTTTTGCTGAATTTGATGACAATACAGGCAGAAAATATTCTATCAATAAGTCAGGTAAATTATCTTTTTCATGTTTTGGTTGTGAGTTGTTGGGTGGGTTTTTTTTGCAAACTCAGCATCATTGAAAATCAAAGGGTTTGGCTCTTGGAAAGCATTATGCAGCCCCCTTGTTAAAGTGCTGCCCTAGAATATGCCTTGTGCCCCCTTGGAGGGGAGAGGACTGGATCACTCCAAAAAAAAGCAGGAAAATTTAATGTCTTCTTTTTCCAGAGCAGTGGGTTACACGTCTGCCTTTCGAGTGCCATGCATTAAGTTGGTTGAAATTGAAAGCTAAGATAGGAGCCTCTCTCTCAAAACATTTCTCAGGAATATTTTTCATTAGCTCATATCATTACGTGCACAATCCCCTCTTCACCCTCACCCCTGTCATGATTTCTTTCATACATAAGGGAGGTGAGGGAATTTATCTGAATTAAAATCTATGCAAAGATATCTTTACTCTGTCTAACAGAGGATGCTTTTCTCTTAGAAGCTGTGATGGGGGAGACATATGTAGAATGACTAAGGCAGCCAATTAATATGTTATATAAACAGCAACCACCACTAAAAAAAGGCAGAGAGATAAAGAAAACTGAGAGATTTGGGGTGGGGGTGGGAGGGGGGGGGAAGGGAGGTTGTAAGTATAAAGTGTTTGCCTTAGGACTTGTCTTCAGTTACAGAGCCAGACTCACATGACTGGAGCTTGGTTTGATGTGGTAATGAAGCATTGATCACAGGAAAAAGATGAAATGGCCTTTGCTCATTCATTATTTTTATCTTCTAGCTGTGGAAGACAGAAAATTGTTCATAGGAATGGTTTCGAAGAAGTGTAATGAGAATGATATCAGGGTGATGTTTTCTCCGTTCGGCCAGATAGAAGAATGCCGAATCCTTCGGGGACCTGATGGGCTGAGCAGAGGTGAGTGTGCAGTCTGTAAAGTCTCTTTCCTTAAGCACTAATTGGGAGCTATATGTCACAGTCAGGGTAGGAATAGCCGCTGTCTGCAGCTAGAGGTTACGCCGTAATACGTCCCACGTGATGAAGGTATCCGCATGAACTTTTCACAGTGACTGAAATTATCACCTTTTATTTCCAGTGTCAGAAAGGTCTTGGTGCCAACATATTAACTTGTGTTATCGCACTGTTTGTCAGCTGGAAAGGTTCCTTTGCACCCTGAGAAAACACCCTCAGTTTTCTGCTCTCACAAAATCAAAGATCCTTCCCTGACCCCATTTCTGTTTTGTACCACAAGGCCAAAAAAAAAAAAAAAAAGGACTGTAAATGACTGTTTGAAGAAGTACAGGGTCATGGGAACTGGCCCACTATCTCCTGAATTCCTGTGTTTTTTATAACCATATGCAAAATATAGGTCTGCTCTAACTCAGAAACAAAGAGGTTAGCTCGAACCTGAAAGCTTTACCTGGACCAAACTTTGTAAAAAGCTTCTTGAGCTTGTGCCTCTATCACAAACCAAAAACCAGGGAAGAGGTGTTAAGCGGCACCACCAGGAGCGGTCAAGCGGCTGTCCTGAACTTTGGAAATGAAGTGCAGCACAGACTTCAATAGCTGGTGACCCTTTCTGAATGCAGAAGTGCCTTTTCAGGAAAGGCTCTCTGAAAACATATTGAAAAGAAAAATAAGTGTATATTGATGACACAGACTGCATATTAACTCCATGGTACATGGACCTGAAATTATTCTCAGACTATGAACCTTCCCACAAACTCAGCGTTGCGTGGCACTGAGTAGCACAGGGCATCGTGACAGCCCCATCTTTCAGTGGGGAAAGCTTTTGGGGTACTAGCTGCTGTCATGTAATGGCATGGGGAGCAAAGTAATTTTAAGTGTGGAGCTGTGAAGAACATCACTTCTATTTCAATAGAAATAAATTAAAAAAAAAACAAAAACAAAAAACAAAAAACAGAAAGCACAGTTTATGCATTTTATTACATTTTCAAAAGGCACAGAAAAAATAATTGTATCCATCTTACATATAGATATAGCTCTATCTATTTTTTTTATTACTTCCGGATCTATTTGTTTCCTGTAGGCTGTAGGATCCTCAGTGTTTTGTGCAACAATTTGTGCCTGGGGTTGAGAAGCAGACGTTTTTGTTTTGTGTGCAGCCCAGCTTGTTTAAAAAGACTATGCATTTCAGCAGGGGAAGTTGCATGTATTGCTATATATTTCACAGCACTGCTTGAAACATATATTCCACGACTTCTGAATAACAAGGGCTTGTTAAGAAGTTATTCTGACAATAAATAGGAAGCCCAACGAAGATTATGCTCTTACATTTATGAATGCTTAGATTGCAATTCCAAAACTTTGGGGGCTGGCATACAACAGTCCCTTCAGGCAAGCAGAGCATCAGGATCATGGCTTTTGCCTTGGGGAAGACCAGGGGAAAGGTCTGAGGTTGGTTCCTGCAGCTCAGTAATGACTGTTAACTGATGAGTCGAGCACTGTTATTATCTGCTAGACCCCACACTGAGGGAAAACAAATATTTCTGATTTTTAGTGATTTCGCTTTGTAAGCAGCACAGAGAAGGGGTGATGGAAGACACAAGTGGGAAAAGAGCTAACTAGCTGCTGAAATAATAACAAGATCTGGGCATCAGATATTTTGAGCCCCCAAAGAATTTATTGACTCCAGCATCATCCGGCAAAGAAACGGACCTCCCCTGGGATCTGTGGAAACCCCACTGCATTATTACTTTTATTCAATAGTCATTGGGTATACTATAAGCATAGAAAAGCTAATTATAAATTCAGATAGATTAAGTAAGGGTGGTGGGGTAGTTTTATTCCTCCATAAATAGCAATATTACAATCAGCAACTGAGATTTTGAAGCCATGTCACTAATGTATCAGGGAGAGCAGTGTCGTCTGCCAGCCAGCAGACCCATGGAGTTAATGTGCTGCTCTCTCCTGTTAGAGGGTGAAGATCTTAGTCCAGGTAGGTCACACACCAGCAGTCTTAGCAGAGCTGTATCCTCCCTGCTACTCGGGTTTATTTCGGTCACCATCATGACTGATATTCTGTCATGCCCTCATGCATCATGGCTTGTTAAACTTGAATTGCTTTCTACACACCCATGTTCACACTTGAAAATGAGTTCAGCTGTGCCAACCAGGTTTTCAGGCAGATGTTTATCAGCTTCACAAAATCACCACACCATGAGAGAAGGCAAAGCGTTGGAAAAATGGTTGGTTTTGCAGAGCTGAAATGAAAAGTGCTAAGGGAGATTTGAAACCAAGGGAGCCCAGTGTGAAAAGCTGCTCCGCTAAAGCAAGTAGGAGAATTTACAGAGTTAAATCTTAGTAACGAGTTCTGATACTTAATGAGTTTTAATTCATGTTACCGTTTCTCAAGATGATAGTTCCCTTTGCCACAAACAATATTTGTTTTCCCAGCACCAGTTCAGATGTGCTTCCCTCCCAGACACAGAGGGGCGAATGAAAAATAGTCACTGTCTTAAGAAAACACTGTCCTCATGATGCCAGAGCCTTCGGGAACTCACAGTGCTCACAGCAGTGAGATGGAAATATGGTCCAATAAACTCTGTTTGGCATCTCTTTCCAATTGCATAACGAGTGTGCATCATGGTATCATGGAAGAAAAGAGCTTGAAAAATATATTCATTGGTATTTATGCCAACTTTCGAGCTTCATTGAAGGATTCAGGCAAATAATCTTTATTACCAGCAGATAGTTGCAAGGAATAGCTCCAGGTTACACTGCTCAGTAGAATAATTTTAGTTTGTGCTGCTACTTTTTGTTGTTGTTGTTGTTCTTTTTCTCATAATGAAGAGTAAAAAGCTTTCAGCTGACTTTTCTGTCACGTCTACACTACAACAGCAACCATAGTGCTAGCATGGTAACAGTAAGCCATAGGGTTTTACTGTAAGGTTGTAGGGTACCACATGCTTCCAGCAGCAAGACGAAATCCCTTTCTGCAGCAGCAAGGGAAAATGTAACACTTGTGATGGGTGCAGTATAAGTGTTAAGATAAAGAGAGAGGTTGAACTGGTTGTTCCTATTGTAGTTTGTAGCCAGGAGCTGACAGAACTTTGTATTAAAGTCGCACCCCTTGCTGTCACTACTGATAATGTACCATCAGCATTTCCACTCCAAATTCCTATTGTCAGCTGTTTGAAACTCATCTGTAATACGAGACTAAAATGATGATACAAAGCTCCAGTGGTGGAGCGGTGTACTTTAAAGAAAGTGAGATTTTCTCCTTAACTCCAGTTTATAACTTGTTTTATTCTACCAGCTACAAGAAATAGGCAGCAACCAAAACACACTGCCTTCCAAAGGCTCTGGGATAGTCCCTGTGAAATTAGTTGGCTGGCAGAGAGTAATTCCTAGCTGCGAAGAGTATTAAAAAAATAAAAATACCCTGTTGGCTGTAGAGATAAAGAAGCCAGGGACTGAACAGACATGGAGGCTGGCCTTCGCTTTAGCAGGGTTCATGGGACTATCTAAAGAAGCTTGCAGCTGCCTGTACTATATTCATTATTCAAAGAGAAGGATTCAGCCTGCAGGGTTGTTTAATCCAGCACTTTTTCTGAAGAGCTAAGTATGCTTTACAAAAATTCATGATTGTGATATCATGTGCTAAGCTTCATTATCATGAAAAAGCAGAAGTGAACTGCCTCAGATGATTAAGATTTTAAATCACTTATTGTGAACGGCTTAAGGAAACTTTCAGACCTCCTGACTTCCAGCACATGTCTACATGACCACAGATGCCAATGCAGACAGCCATGCAGTGATAGCTGGACTATGCAAAAATAGCCAGAAATAACCAAATTTGATTTATTTCTGGGCTACTAACGTGCTCTATGGCTGTAGGTGAGTTTATTTTTTCATCATCTATTATCCTCTTCCTTAAAACAAGGATAGCAATGCTCCTCTAGCTTTATAAGATGCTTTTTTTTTAGACCAGTGGATCAATATCTCTGTATCACTCTAGGAATTATTACCATCCATAACGATGATAAAAAAAAATCCTCTTATCCTTATCACAGGAACACCACACAACAAATTATTTGGCTGTATTGCTAAGTGCAGATTTATATAATAGATACCAGAAACAACTCAACTTGGTTAATAGCGTGCTCTGAAGAAAACCTGCTAATAACACGTACAGACAATTGGATGTACCATGAAAATTGTGGAAAAGCTCCAAATATATATTCCTACACCTTCCAGGCTCCTAATTGTGTGTTTTTTTTTTTTAAACAAAATATCACCAGACACATGGGACAAGTGCACATTTCTAAACACATTGATTACAGGAATATTTTTTTATTTGCTTTAAAAGCAGGTTAGAAATGGCATGGAGAGTTATACCACGGTCAGGCAATTTAATTTCATGAAAATCCATTCATAACTTTCAGATTTGGGGGGTTTCTTGATGAATGAATAATACACAATTAGCATTTGCATCATAATTAGCTGCAGTGTAGAGTAGGTGAGGATGTTTTATGCCTTTATACCCGTTTCTTTTTTCCTTATGGGTATTTACTGCTCCTTTCTGAGCTCAAGTAAGGTGAAGTGCCACCATGGGAGCAGCCTGGATTAGGGGCCACCTTTTGACCTCTGCATCAATAAGTGATGAGGAACAAGCACAGGGGAAGTTCAGTGTTTTTTCTTGCTATTCAGAAGCACCTTCATGCCTTATTTCTTTTGCTGTAACATGGTAACTTTTTAATTTTTCCAGTCGTTGTGGCACATGTAATTTTCTTCTTCCCCTGGTGAAACGTTTCCTGAGGTGTGAAGGAGCGAACACATCAAGTGACCAGTGTCTCAGCTGGCCTCTGGCCAGCCCAGCAACTCTATATCTCAGTTTCCATTTCTGCACCTTGTCAGCAATCCCTGCTCAGAGGGAGGCCTGAAATGAAATAATA